GCTTTTGAATGGTTTTTCCAATATAATTAAATTATTTTTTCATAATAAAATTCATCAATTATCATTTAGGTTCGTAATCATAGTAGTCATAAATATAGTTTTCTTATCGTGTTACACATCGTTGCTCTTTGTAGCAATAAAAATTTTTTATTCGTAATAAGAACGTTTTATAAATAAATATAAATAAAGAATTATAAATAAATATAATGACTATTCATCAATGAATTAATTTTTAATTAATATTTCCATATGAAGAACAATTTCCAAATAAAAGAAATAATATTACACTTATTACGCATGTTTTGATCATAAATATTCAAATTAATCGCTTTAATTAGACTTGGAAGTGCAAATAGAACTAATCATAAACAGCTACAAAACCAGAAAAATATTTTACAAACGTGTTTCTATGGAATAATGGATTAATGATAATTTTTGTATTTTTTGAGGTAATTTTTTTAGCAATGCTGTTGTTGTATATATACAACTCCTTTAACAAAGTAATCATAATAAATTGAATATGACTTCAACAATCATAAAACATTGGTGAAAGATTGTCTAATATTAAAATGGCTTGTAAATAAGTCACTCTATATAATAACTACTTCACTTTTTTTTAGAGATATTATTAATACATATAATTGGCTCAAATAAAATGTATTTTGGTTGGGAAAGCAGACCTTTCGCAATTTAAGAAACGAAAATTTCTGCATTTTCAAAAATAGATTCTTTTGCTTTAATGACGCAAGAGTATAAATCATCATACATAATGAATTCGAAATGAAACTAGGTGTAAGTGACATTTTCTCTGTATCTCCAAATCAATACGTCTTAATAGTTAAGAATTGATATTCAGCATCTTTTAAAATTTTTACTAGGCTTATTATTCCAAACGAATTTTAATCAAACCACTTTTCGTAGCCCTATAATATTTTAGGATCATGAACTCTATCATTATAAGAACTGGAATAAGAATCAAAAAACGGTTCAGGATTTTCTGCGAAAAAGTGGACAAAAACTCCTTCACTTTTTTTCTAAATTCTAAAGAAATGGCTTAACCAATTCATATCGAGGTTCGAAGAAAGACTCTTAAATTTTTTAATCGGTTTGGCTGTTTTTTAAGGAAACGTCGACAAAACGTCAAATTTTGACTCATATACATGTAAAATAACAAAAGAATATGTGTGAGTAGATCATACATTATGAAAAATAAAGAGTGTGACATATAGAGATGAATATTGTAGAGAGTGTAATTAGAGACAATAAACGAGTAATTAGAGATGAGGCGTGTTAATAGAGACGGAGTTAATAATATATTTTATTTTGAATTTTGTTCTCAAGCGATTCAGAATTACTAGGAACGTCGATAAAACAGAAAATCAAATCGGATTTTCTGGTAACGTAAACACAAACTACTTCCTCATGCAGTTAATTATTGTTCAAAAACGTTTTTTGAAAAAAAAAATTCTAAACTTTTTTATCCTGCTTGACAATCTATGCTAGTCTAATGCATTTGTGATCTTGGTGAAATCAGTAACTTTTGACATAATTAGCCTGTCTCATAGGTTCAAAAACATTTCCATTCTCAGTTTAAAAGTCAGACAAAATGTGTTATTGATTTACTACAGCAGCTGATTATATTAATCAAAAACATATGATTCATTCCGCCAAATTTATCACCATTGGCAGTCGCAACTTTGTTTTGATTTCTTATAGTTGTTTACGTACAGAATAAACTCACTCATCAGAATGCGAATGAATAAATTCATTATCTTAAAAGAATTTCGTTGTGTTTTGGACTGGTTCTTTAATACTTTTTGGCATATAGCAAATATTTTCAAGCTTATGACAGGGTTATAAATGCTATGGATTTTTCCTTTGAAACAGCGGCATTATTGATTAAGTGCCAAGGCTTATCCTCTATAAACTTTATAGCCGTTCCATAAAATAATTAGGAACATCAAGGTAAATTTTTATCGATCACGTAGGAGGTATTAAATCGCATATAACAAATGATATTGCCTGCTTTATGTAAATATTTATTCACGAATTTCTTGTGTTCATAATTAGTTTGAACATACTTGATTTATACCAAACATCTTCATATTGACTTTTATATTATTTAGTAAAATTAAAAATCTGAGGTTCTGAGAAATCTTTATTTGCGTTATTATTAGCCCGGTCAATTTACGCATTCAAGGTTACAATAATTCATAATGAACAGTAACTTGATGAAATTGTTTATAACACAATTATAAAAGAAATCTCAAGAGTCCTCATCGTTCCGGTGCGAGCTAAAATATTGGCACAAGGTCAAAGTTAAAAAATGACCTTTTTGCAAGTTCAGCTAAATAGTCAGTTTTATCGCAAAATCATCTGAGACGAAATATTAGAGCATAAAATTATCTACCGTTTCAAATATACTTTGAAAAGTACATTTAAACGGCACCAATTAAAATAATTAAGATTTGACTCGAAATGCAATTAAAATTTCCCACAATTACAGAATTCAATCTGAATTCTGTGATTATAATTCCTATGTTTCGATCAAGTTTTCATATCCAGATTTAGCAATAAGTTGTTCCACTTCAAATTATTTGAATGTTTCAAGGACATTCATTAAAATGTTCGCAAACTTGTTCAACAATTTGTACTCGCATTTACGTTCTCGTGAGTGACTCATTGTTGAATAACTCGGCAGGAAATTTATTTAAGGTGAGAATGAAATTCCATTCTCGGAATTTGTATGAAAAATTACTAAACAACCTGTTTTCCAATATCATCAAGCTGTACTTGAAGTTGAAACTCAATTAAAAATTTCAGATCAGTACTACGTTCTTTGAGCTCTATTTGCTAACTTACTTCCTTACCCGTTAGTTTTTGAGGAGGCAACCCAGTGGCCAACTGATTTTTTGTTGTATGTGTAATAATTATATATATTAGATATTTTTATCTGGGATTACTCGCTTCGAGGCGCCTGATGTCAAGCAGTAGTTCACTTGAAAATATAGATAGCAACATGTTTCCAAGTGAAAATAGCCCTCATCCGGCAGTTTTTCCATCTATATTTTCAAGTGAAAACCGACGTCACAACTGCTTGACATCAGGCTGTCCGTAACAGGTATCTAACCTGGATCCTCTAAATGTAAGTCCATAGCTCTGATGAATGACGCAAAAGCCCATTTTAATAATTATGATTGAAATGATTTTCTTCGGACGTATTTTCGTTTTATTATATTGGCCATGAAGGTGACAATCTTCATGGCATTGAGCTTTTACACGGAATGGTTGCTACCCCTGGTAGAAGGGGTAGCGGAGTGTTTTCAGGGAAATAATTGTTCACTTCTAAAAGGAAAGTCCGCGAAACAACATGTATAATCAATAGCCAATTAATGTATCTTCTTTCATTATAACTTTGAAACAAATCAGTGATTATAATTAGAACTGCAACAAATACATAATATACAAACAAATCAGTGTTTAATACAGTTTACAGCTACAAGGGTTATATACAAATTATAACCCAGCAACCTGTATTATCGAAGGAGAGTTTTAATAAATTTTATAAGTACGTAACATAAATACAGATTTTTTAATAAAATTATACTTTAACCAATGTAAAGCTAATAAATGAGTTTTTTTTAATGATAAATAGTTCTGCCTTCTGCGTCAGTTTTTTTCTTATAATTAGACGGTTAGTAGCCATTTAGTCTTGAAAATTCTTGGGTCGTCGACATAAACTAAAAAAGTAATGTTTGTCGCTAATTATTGCAACTTGCAACGAAGCATATGTTTCGCATTTGAAGGTAAGCCTGTTTTTCTTCAGCGTAGTAAAAAAGCAATAAAACTCGTAACAAAATTTCTCGAGCTGTGAGAATACTGGGCAGGTAAGAAACGGCCCTCAAATTCTCTATATTTTATTACAACATCCATCCCTGGTTAAGTTACGTGTCTATACGGTGGTCACAGTTCCATTGCACCCAAAATTTAAGAGTATTCAGAGAGAATATTCAAATATACAGTACGTGATTCACATTTTTGTACGTGACGCGGTTTCGATAGGTAATTTATGGTTTTATAGTAGCCGTAGAATCACGGACTGCCGACTGTGACAATGAATGGTCAAGAATTTGGGAATTCTTCATACAATGGAAGGTGATTGCATCCGAACAATGTGCAAAATTCCTCGTATAAACCATCAATTTGTACATGGTAGATCGACAAAAATACTGACTAATTTTACGTGACGTTATGGTCTTTTGTACCATCTCAGCATATACCCGAAAATTGAAAGCTTTTTTTTAACACGTTCGCACCGGGGCCGATTTTGGATGTTTTGCTGTGAGGCGGCGCGTGGTTATTTCCTTCGAAATGCGGGTCACCGGTGATTCACGCCGGCGTAAACGTGTTAATATACATTGAATGGAAATCAGAACAGTTATCTTATATAAGCCATTGTGCTATAGTTTTGATCCCCATTTAGGAAAATCAAATGTCTCCTAGTGAGATGTTTCTGCTTTCTTAAATGAAATCTTTAGATTGCTTTTTCTTGAGTTTTCTTATACAGGTGGAAAGCTTTTAAGAGTCGGCAGTTGTCACTTTTAAATTTTTATTTTTTACTCAAAAATATTTCAGTAATAGAATCATCATATATTTTATCATTTTACGAACCTGATTAATACGCCAACTTTTTGATCAAACTTGCCAACACACGTTAGTACATTTTTTTTACACAAAGGCCTCTCAAAGTCGATCGATTTTAAAAATTTTACATTCCAGCAAAAAGTCTTGATTAACTTGGGACAATTGTGTTATTGTTTTTACTATGACCCTAGAAATGTTATTCACGGTTACGATTACGAAGTTTAAATAAACAAAATTCATTAAAATTAACCACAATAACCGAAAAATGGTCATAATTCAACCAAAGCTCTAGGTTGCACTTAAAAGCTCATAATTTTCAAACAAAGTAAGAGAATATTTTTTTATTTTTTTTTCAGGACAGTTAAGGTCAATTCTACCACCCCGTTTCGGCTTGACATTAAGTTCTGGGACACCCTGTATAAACGTCGATCAGATATACACAGTAAGTTTTTAATACAGTTTTGATAATTTTATAACCTAGTATAAAATATTGAATTTAAACAGATTAGGTAAGAGATTTTTAGAGACCGGACCCAAAACGCGTCTTATGCAGGAAAGCGTATTATGAGGGATAAGTACATTAAAGTAGGTACATCTTAAAGTGCAGTGTCCGGCGTAAAGTGGTGTATTATGCGAGAAATCATGTAAGGCATGATCGCTTTAACGGGATTCTACTGGGTATAGTCACAAATATGCATAATACATTCGTAAAATGTACCATTTATTTTCATTATTTTTTTAGAAAAATGTATTTATTTTTAACATTTTGGGTTCATATTCGTCTCCTACTTGTGGTGAATTTTACAAAGGTTTCATATTGCTTAAAAATTGTCTTATTTAGATTTAATTTTTTTTTTTTTAATTTTTGTTCCAAGTTGAACTCTCTAATTTTTTTTTGTCAATCAAAATTTTATTTAAGTAAACTCTATAATGATTTTGTAAATGCGTAGCTTTAATTATACTTAAATTTGATATAATTTCTTGTTTTTATTTGACATAAATTTCTGAACTATATTCTGAATGGATGGGTGGGTTTGATTGTATTTTGAACTTAAATTTTTCTAAGCAAAATTATTTCAGGGATAGAATTTGATTGAGACTAATTGTAAGATTTGGTATTTTAGATTTGGATCATCTTAATTTTATAAATACAGCAATATATAAAAATTATTACGAAAAACTCTTGACATTAAAAAACCTAATTATATTGTACAATTAAAATAGTAATCCTGATTTTTTAAACTTATACGTACTAAAAAGTTTTTGATTTTTTTTTTGAAGAAATTTAATTAAATGATAATAAGTTCAATCAAAATCGGACATGATACGATACATGTATTTCATTCATTTTAAATAGCCTTTGCAAATAACTTTCGTCTTCAAATAAAAATCCTCTAACTTACACTATTATTTCAAACAATTCGCTTTGTGAAAATAGAATGTTAAATAATTATAATCTCTAAAATTTATTTATCTTCGCACGTACAAATGCAAATAATAAATACTAGATATCAGCACTAATTTTTTAATTACACTCAAAACTAGCTTCATAATTTTATCCTGACTCCATATTATATATTGAACAGCACAATCATCAACAAATGCGGAAAATATGAGCAGCAGCAAAATTGCAATAATTTTAAACTCCGTAGTTATTAGTATAAATTTATTTGTTATTGCTACTGAATAAGAACTTTGATATAAATGTGCGTTATGCAAATTTCAATTCTGGATTTAAACAAGTTTTGCAACTATATGTTGCGATAAAAGAACAGAGATACTGCATATGGCATGCTTTTGCTCCATATATTATGCACAGTCACAAAGATTAATATAATGTTATTCAGTTAATTAATAAACAAGAATTTTGCGACGGGGAATTAATGAACTTCATGAAACATGCAGTATGAGGCAAATGCTGCACGAATTTTTTATCAAAATCCTGGTCCTTTTTACCATGGGACGGCCAGGTTCCATTGAAAGGGGCAAACAGGTCCAATGTCTTATTTTTAATTCTAAAAGGATTTTGTATTTGCAATGATGCATTTTCTTTAACACTTTTTTCCAAATTACAAAGAAACGGCTTGGCAGATCGTCGCACAAAACTGACAAACGATAGTCCTCATTGATACATCAAATGGCTTTTTTTCTGAAATCGGTTCTGGAGTTTTTGAGAAAACGTAGGTAAAAGGTCTAATTTTGACAAATGCCAAAAAAGCAATACTAATTTTTGCAAACTTTGACGAATTTTTAAAGTTAAACGAGTTGTCGTAGGGCTGTAATATTTTAGTATGATCTATAAGACTATGGTATCTAATATCAAAAAAATCATAAAAATCGTCGAAAAAAACTTTTTAACACTTTATTACAAGAAAACGGCCGGCCGACCAAAAACTAATCAGGTCGATTTATTTATTTATTTATTTATTTATTAATTTTACAAGCCGTCGGTATAATATTTAATATTATAATAAGGCTTAAGAATTTCCCAACCAATATCTTTCGAACGGTTTTCAAAATCGATTTAGAATTGCGGGATAAAACGTGAACGAAATTTTTTTCACTTTTTTGCCATTTACAAGGGAACGGCGTGGCTGATCGTCGCGCACAATTGATAAACGCTAGTCCTCATCGAGATACATCGAATGGCTTTAAAATTTTTGAAATTGGTCCAGTCGTTTTTGAGAAAACGTCGATTTACGGCAAAAAATCTGTTCACACACACACACATACTTTTTCTAAATTTGGTCTCATTTGATTCAGAATGGCTTGAAACGTCGAGAAAACATAAAATTAGCGAATCGGATTTTTGATGATAACAAACTCCTCCTTCGGGAAGTTAAAAAATTAGATTAAAAAAATAGTTAATCATTTATAAAACTTGCAAGTTTATGTGAGTCAAAATTTGAGGGCAATACATCTATTAAAAATTGTAGAAATTTATAAAATGAAAATTTATAAATTGGAATGTTCCTAATGATAATAATCATAATTTACAATAACTAGTATAAATAATAGGAATAGTGTAGTAGTTTGTCGGTTTGAATAAAAAATATAATTTAGATTAAAATTGAAACAATTTTCTAGATTAAAAAATATATTGTTATATATATTGTATATATATATATATTATATATATATATATATAATATTTCCTATTTCAATTATAACTGAATCATATCCATAATTTTATGTTCGTCATTAAGTAAATAAAGCCTTGAAAACAAGTAGCAAATTGCGTTACAGCATATAATAAAATTTAATCTGTTTCAATAAATCAGTTTAATAATGCAATAATCTCAACTATTTCGTGCACTCACACAATTATTAGTCATTGAAAATAATGATTCAAATGGAACATAACAAATATTGTTGATAAAATTCTAACGTGAAATAATGGAAAAATACTTTATATCGTGGGTCCATTTAATGAATTACATAATTGGCATAACCTAATAGATATGGTGAATTTTAAATTAAGTGATCAATAAATGTACGTTAATTGTCACAGAAATAAAAGTATAATATTACGTTTCGTATCAATCTTGACCTACATGATTGCCATCATCTTGTCCAAATATCATTCAACTCTAGCATTCGAAAATCTTTACTGACCGTGAACTTTAAATAAAATATTCATGGCGCACGACAATGTCACAACAAAACTGTGTTACCTAAAATATTCTATTTGAAAAATTTTTCACTTCGTAAATATACGATTTTAAAATTACTTTGACTGCAAAACAGAAACTTTTAACCATTGTGATGTGGCCAACTTAAGTGTTGGATTTTCCTGTAATCTGCATTTGTTTGTCAATATTGGACTAACGGAAAGAATTGAGTTATTTTGAATAGTTTTGCAATTTAAAGAATAGAAAGTATAATAAAAGATTGCAAATATATAATATCTATAACAAGACGCAATTTTGTTATTATATACAAATGTCATTTCATCACCATTTAAGTACATTAGTAAAATATAATTTAAAGTTCAATATAATTTTATAATAATGTGATTATAGAGAATCACTTGCAACTTTGCAAAATATTACAATATTGTCTTTTACATACTAACAAGGATAACCTCTTCTCGAATTTTGATAAAACTTTGCATAACGCTAAAGAACACCTATAAAATATTATAGGCCTATCAATATGCGGATGGATAATTATAAAAATGAAATTAAAATTTAAAAAAATCTGTCGCGCAATGTGTATTCTTACAGTGTTCCATATCAATATGTAAGCACGTATTAGAGAAAAAGTTTTAGATGATTTCAATTTCGACAGAAATTCATTATTTTTTTTAAATATTTTTAAATCGCAGTATAAAGCTTGATGAATCTTCTTCTTCCAAAAAAACTATAGCTTTATTTTATTTTGTGTATGTATGAAGTCTGCATCTAGAAAAATATTATAATTATAAATTATTGATCGAGAAAAACTCGTCGAATAGATTACTATTCCTGGGACAATCTCAGTCCTTATAATAGGTTTTTGTTTAAAAAAATATTTAGTTTAGTCTTGTTTTGATTCCGTAAACCACTAATCTTCTATTAAAGAAGCAGTTACATAT